TGTTTGGTAAGGTGGAGGGTCAGAGAAAAAGAGAAAGACCCCCAGCAAGATGGATTGGCAAAGTGGCAGCATCAATGGGCTCAAACGTGGCAACAATTGTGAGGTTGGCCCAGGATCGGGCAGTGTTTCATTCCGTTGTGCATAGGGTCGCTATGAGTTGGTACCAGCTCGATGGCACCTAACAACAACAACAACAACAACATCTCACTGTGTTTAAGAGCTATTATACCTTAAAGTGTACAAAGAGAATATGATTAGCTTTAGTAAGACAGCTGACCGGGTATTACATAATCACTTTCTTTAGGAGGAACTTAAGGGATAAACCTGTAACTACTGGGTCAGTTCCAACTCATGTGTTGCAGTGTAAATGCACATGTAAACCTCATGTGTTGCAGTGTAAAACTGCTCCATAGGGTTTTCTTGGCTGTGATGCTGCAGGAAAAAGCACTGGACTGCAAGGTCAGTTTGAACTGCAAGGTTGGTAGTTCAAACTCACCAACCACTCCTTGGAAATCCTATACAGGGTCGCCATGAGTCAGAACTGATTGGAAGGCACTTCACAACCATCTTTACAGAGGCAGACTGCTAGGCCATCTTCCACAGGGCCACCTCTTTAGGTATACTTGAGTACAAACTGTTAGCACAACTAGGGGTCTATATTTAGGCACTGCAACTTTTAAAAAGATGAATTGCCATTCATATTGTTTTCAAAATAAAACAGAAAAATAAGTAAAAATGTCTTCAAAACTGTGGGGTATCTGAAAAAAGTACAATACATGTACTGTTTTTCTTATGGTTGGTTTTCTGGGTACTTTGGGTGTATTCATTGGATCTCTTTTTGAGTAACAGTTGGACATACTGCTTTATATTTATAAGTGCTCTACCTGAAAAATTTTCTGGGATTGGAGAAAAACATAGTGAGCATGTCATAGGAAAATATAACTTTCTGTTTAAGATTAAGTGTATCATATATTTCCTGATCTTTTCAAAACAAAGAAGAAAAAAAAAAAACCACAAAAAACCCCCTTATACTGAAATAGATTTCAAGAAATGTGAGGTGTTGTTTCACAAATGATTCTGCCCACTTTCTATATGGCTGGTGCTACATGATTTCATTAGTCTGGAATAAAGTGATTAAAGAAAAAAAAAAAAAGTCAGCAATTTCAGAGACTGGGGTCTAGTCTCAACTGGTATCCAAATAACTAAATTTTAGACCAAGCACCACTTCAAAGATTAAAAAAAAAAAATCCAATAAAATAATGAATTCCCCTTTGGAGAAGTTTTAGAAATAAAATAATATAAAATACTATTATTGTAATCACTAAGTTACTGAAAGAAAAAAAAATATATGTAAAGGTAAATTGTTGTTGTTGTGAAGTGCCTTCGAGTCAGTCCCGACCCATAGCGACCCTGTACAGGGTTTCCGAGGGTGTAAATCCTTGCGGGAGTAGAAAGCCTCATCTTTCTCCCGCGGAGCGGCTGGTAGTTTCGAACCGCTGATCTTAAGGTTCGCAGCCCGATTCGTAACCACTACGCTACCAAAACCAGTTGACAATGTTGTTGTTGCTAGGTGCCATCAAGTTGTTACCGACTCATAGAGACCTTGTGCACAACAGAATGAAACACTGCCCAGTTCTGCATCAACCTCCCAATCTCTGCTATTCTTGAGCTCATTGCTGCTGCCTGCCCCTGTCTCAGTCCATCTCTTTGGGGATCTTCTTATTCTTCACTGACCCTCCACTGTACCTAGTATGATTTCCCTTTCCAGGGACTGGTCTCTTCTAATAATATCTCTGAAGTATGAGAGACAAAGTCTGGCCATCCTGGCTTCTAAGGAGCCTACTTCTTCCAACACAGCTTAGTTTGTTATTTTGGTGGTTCATGGTACTTTCAGTCTTCTTGTCCAATACCATAACTCAGTTGCATCAGTTCTTCTGCAGTCTTTCTTATTCATTGTCCAACTTTCGCATGGTACTTTTGAAAATACCATGGCTTGGGTCAGGCAAACCTCAGTCCTCAAACTGACATCTTTTCTCTTCAACACTTTAAAGAGGTCTTGTGCAGTAGATTTGCCCAATGCAAAACGTTGTTTGATTTCTTGACTGTTGCTTCCATGAGTGTGGATAGCTGATCCAAGCAAAATGAAATCTTGGACAACTTCAATATTTTCTCCATTTATATGGATGTAATCTATTGATCCAGTGGTGAGGATTTTTGTTTTCTTGATGCCCATACCAAAGGTGCAACCCATACCAAAAGCTGTGGTCTTTGATCTTCATCAGTAAGTATTTTAAGTCCTCATCACTTTCAGCAAGGAAGGTTGTATCATGTGCATATCACAGGTTCTTAATGAGTCTTCCTCCAATCCTGATGCCACGTTCTTCTTCATATAATCCAACTTCTCAGATTATTTGCTCAGCATACAGATGAAAGAAATATGGTAAAAGAATACAAACCTGGAGTACGCCTTTCCTTATTTTAAACCATTCAGTGTTCCCATGTTCTGTTCGGACAACTGCCTCTTGGTTTATGTACAGGTTCCTCAAATAAGTGTACCCGGATACTCATTCTCTGCAATGTTGTCCATAGCTTGTATGATCCACACAATCAAAAGCCTTTGTGTAGTCAGCAAAGCACATGTAAACATCTTTCTGATATTCTCTGCTTTCAGCCAAGATCCATCTGACATTAGCAATGATATCCCTCATTCCACGTCTTCATGTGAATCCAGCTTAAACCTCTGGCAGTTCCCTGTCAATGTATTACTGCAACCATTTTTTTAAAATTATCTTTAGCAAAATTTTACTTGCTTGTGATTTTAATGATAACTGTCTGATGATTTCCACATTCCGTTGGATCAGCTCTTTTTGGACTGGGAACAAACATGGATCTCCTCCAATCACCTGGCCAGGTAGTTGTTCTCCAATTTTTCTGGCATAAATGATTGCCTCTAGTGCCACATCAGTTTGTTGAAATATTTCAATTTTTATTCCATTAATTCCTGGTGCCTGGTTCTTTGCCAATGCCTTCAGTGTACCTTGGACTTCTTCCTTCAGTATCATCGGCTCTTGATCATATACTACCTCTTGAAATGGTTGAACATCAATCATTTCTTTTAGATACATTGACTCTGTGTATTCTTCTATCTTTTCTTGATGCTTTCTGCATCATTCAATATGAATCCTTCAACATTTCAAGTTGAGGCTTAAATTTTTTCTTCAGTTTCCTCAGCTTGTGAAATGCTGGGTGTGTTCTTCCTTTTGGTTTTCTAACTTCAGATCTTTGTACATTTCATTATAATATTTTCCTTTGTCTTCTCGAACTGCCATTTGAAAATTTCTGTATAGCTTTTTTACCTCCTCATTTCTTCCATTTGTAACAGATAAATAAGAATGACAAAGGGAATCATGGAAGGGGGAGTTTTTTAATAGCAGGAAAGTAGACAGTTTCACACCAGGAAAATATATAGAGAGTAGTTCTGGAGGCAAAGAAGAGACTTTTAAGACCATGGTGACTTCCCCAGTTAGAGTTTAAGTATATATTACATATATATGAGGAAACTTCCAAAAGCTCATTGAAAAATTCCATGGTCTTTTCATTTTATTTTTCCATGAATTTTTGAAGCTCCCTTGTATATCTCATATGTATAATTGTTCCTCCTCTGCCAACCCACCCAACAATTTAATATTTTCTCATTTTACAATGACCTGGCTCTCTTACCTGAATCTCTGGTCTTCACTAAGAGCCTGAATAACGGTTGCTCCTCCAAAGGAATGTCCAATAATTGCTACTTTATCCCTATCGACAGAGTCCTATATGGAAAAGCATCATAAATTTTTAACTGTCTCACAGACTGCTAGAAGAATAAACTAAATGGTTTTGTGATTTGTGCAGTTATTATTCATTGCACAGGCATGGTTAAGTACATTGATTTTTTTTTTATAAAAGAGAAAAAATGCATATATATGTGTGTGTGTATGCATGTATGTTTATGTGTGTTGAGAATTCATAGAAATACAGATGTAAATGTCATGGTTTCCTTTGTCACCCACACTTGAAACTCCAACATCAATACCAATTTCTGCATTTTCCCACCCCATGTTTACTAGTGCGTTCATTCCCTGAGTATTTACTGAGCCCCTCACTGTGTCAGACTACTATAATCTCATTTTCAATGAGCTCACAGTCTATTAAGGGAGAAAGAGGCACAAGTACGTAATGCAAACACAATACAATTGTGCCAAAGAACATATAAAATAAATATCTAATCTGGGTAAGTATTGGGGTCCAGGAAAGCTTTCCTGGTAGATGTGGGATGTCTGACTCGAATCTTGGATGCTAAACAGGAGTTGAGGGGAGGAGGAAGTGTGTGTAAGGTGCGATGGCATGGGAATAGGAGTGACTGGCCAGATGAGGGACAACAAACTCTTCAGTGTGTTTGGAGAACAGATCATCATCATATGCTCAAACTAAAGTACATCCCGTTCCCTCATCTCCCTGGATTCCTTCCAGCCCTCCCATACATAGTTCTAATTTTTCGCAATGCTATCTACTAGCTTGATATTCTTCCATCCCTTCCCCACCCACATTTTGTCTAAATGTTTTTTGTTGTTTTTTTTTTTTTTGCCAACTTTTCAAGATCAACTCAAACTTTCAGATGCCTTCCAAATTATTATAGTTACTGCATTGCATTAATTGAATTGAGTATTAATTAGTAATGTGTTATACTAATCAACTTGAGTTTTAATTGAATCATATGAAACTGCCATTTCATAGGTCAAAATGGATGAAATATTGTCAATTTCATACACAGTTCAAACTAACGAGCTCTTCATTACTGTAATCATTTACCTGTACTGTTTGCACATGTGTGGCCTTTCATCATGCTCTACCTTGTATTACAACAGAAAAGCAGGCACTAAAGAACTACAGAACAAGGGGGGAAATGCCTTTTTTAAGCTCACCTTCAATTGTTTCACATCAAACTTTAAATTTAATGCATTTTCCACTGGTTTTCCATGATCAATGTCAAGAATCAAACTGAGAGCTTGGGAACACTCTTTTGCTCTTTGCCGTACCTAAATATGATTTTTAGGAGAAAAAAATGGCAAAGTAAAACGTTGTAACTCTTACTTTAAAGTTTGTATAGAGACTTCATGTGGAAAAAACAATGGTTGATTATAAACTAGAAATTGCTAAACGAACGTGAACAGACTGCCACTTAGCATAGTGACTCAGGCACTAGCTCTGATGATGGGTAGTGACTGTTGTCATTAAGTGCCATTGAGTTAGTTCAGACTCCTAATGACCTTGTATTGGGTTTCCAAGGAGCAGCTGGTGGGTTTGAACTGTAAACCTTGCAATTAACAGTCCAGTGCTTATCCTCCAGGATCATACCAGGACACCTTAGTGATGAGTATGACTTAGTCCAAATCATGACTCTGTTACTTACCCATTGTATGACTTTAAATGGTTTACTTAGCCTCTCTTAACTTCCATTTATTGTATAATGATACTGGTGTGGTACTTTAGGATCAGCACTGGACTGCTAACACTAAGGAAGGCAGTTCAAATTTACCAGTCACTCCTCAGAAACCATATACGGGGTTACTATAAGTCAAAATGGACTCCATGGCACTTAACAAGAACAAGAACAAAAATGCTTACCTCAGTGAAATGTGGGTAGAATTACATGTGGTAACATATAAGGTACCCACTATAGACCTGGTGGGTACTGGAGTGCTAACTGCAAGGTCAGTGGTTCAAACCCACCAGTCACTCTTCATAAGCCCTCTACAGAGTTTCTGTAAGTCAGAAATGACTCAAGAGCACTCAAAAACAACAACATAGATTCTGGGCACAAAGTTGGCAGCCAGTGTGATTTATTTCACTGAATCCTCCCAACAGTCCCTGAGACAGACATTGTTTTTATTATTTTGTAACAGACAAAACAGAGAAACACAAAGAGAGTTAGTGGCTTGTCCAAGGAGATCACCCCACTGCTTAGTGATCGAGCCAGGATTCCAACTTGGAACGTTAAATTCTAAGATCTGTACTTTCAGCATTATTCTATGCAACCTCCCAGAAAGGAAGCCTTTCTTATACCACTATCATGGACAGTCAAAAAATTATTTTCTTGAACTTTTGAAATTCTAGTTAGAAATGCTAAGGACACACACAAAAAATATCTGAAAGTCAATGTTATTGTCTGGGATTTTTCACTTTTATTTTTTTACTACAAACTGAACATTTCAGTAAGGAAATTTCATTACTCAGTAAATCTTCAGGGAATGGGAAACTAGAGACCTAGAGTATACAGGATCATTTTGCCCACGCTTTTGGTCACCTGTAAAACTTAATGCACACATGGCATCATTTTACACACATTTTTGGTCACCTAACTTGTCTCCCCTATTGAAATGTACCTGTTTATTCAGTTGAGCTGCCATCTCATCTTGTTTTATGGCTTTATAGTAGAGCCAAGACTGCTTCCCTTGGTTTGCAGCTGACTGGTTCTTGAAATAGTACGTTGCAGACGCAGATCCATCTCTAGAATACAAACAGAGTCAATTACCCAGGTACTTACTTTTTCCCTTTCCCATCTCACCTGCACCCTTCACACTCAACTTCCCTCTGATTTTTCTGACTTCGCTTTCTTATTGTACTCTATTTTTTTTTCCTTTTAGCCAAATAGATTCTCAAAGGTGTTCTAGAAAAATAAAAAGACCTTAAAGTAATGGGTAACCTCAATCCATCCAATATACACAATTATGGAAGGTGCTATCAGCCATGCTGGAAACAAAGCTCCAAATCTCAAATCCTCCAGTTGCTAGCTGCATAATTTTGGACCAGTGACTTACCCCCTTTTCAATTTTATTTTCCTCCTCTTTTAAACAGTGATAAAAGTAATTCAATGATGGGGCTGTTTAAAGATAAAGGCAGTATACATGGAAGCACGCAGCACAGTGCATGGTCCATAATACACACTTTGGAAACAGTCTAAATTTCTATTTTATCCTCTTACATAATCAGAACTAACAATTATGTCTATGTTTTAAATCTTACTAATGTTATACGTCTAGGCACTAACATTCCCTTATGTGATTAACAACCCCAGCTACATACCGGATGACATACCTGTGTTCTACAGCAGCAACAATAAAGCCATGAGATGCCAGGTCATTGCCAATCGCAGAATAAAGTGTCCTTCAAAACACAGAAAGGGAAACATTTAGCAACCAGTCATACTGCATGACTTAAGATCCTTGTCAGCTCCTGTCCCTCTCCAGACCCACCATGTTCACACTGAAGCTAAACTTCCTGTGGGCTGTTCCCAGTTAGTGACTGAACACCGAGTAGGTGCTCATGCAGGTCCATTTCTGTGAGATGAAGGACTCATCTGATGAGTAACTTTGGTTCAAATATACTCTTCACTGGCCTGGCCCAAACTTTCATGGAAATGGACTACAATCTGAGACAGTTCTTATCCAATCCATCCTTCTCCATCTCCCTCATAGAAGGCCAACTTATATAATGGTCCAAAGGCTCTATCCCTCACAGGCATTTCCCTCAATGAAAGTCTTTTACAGTTCATTCAATCTTTGTGTCTGCTACTCTGGAGGCCAAATAAGCACAGAGGATAATGTTCAGAGTGTAAATATTAAAATATAAAAGAACAGCAAGCAAAATGGCAACATCTTATCTCCTCTGTTTGGAGGCTAACTACCATGAGTTTGAGGGAGGGAACAAACTATCTTTGCCCTGAGTGTGCAGGGTTAGGACTGAGCAGATGATGTTGTTATGTGCCGCTGAGTCAGTTCCAACTCATAGCGACCCTGTATAGGGTTTCTGAGGAGTGGCTGGTGAGCCTGACCAACCAACCTTGCAGTCCAAACTGACCTTGCAGTCTAGCGCATTAACCCACAGTGCCACACCAGGACACCAGGACTGAGCAGTACACCATTCGATTCTTGGGGACGCTAACTCCTCTGGGACAGGGACCAGTACAGCAAGACCTGCTGCTCCTTTATTTTTTTGGTGGGGTGGGGGGATTCATTTATTGATCCCAAGAGGCTAAACTTGTTCAGCATTTCAAACATTACCTGAACGCTCCAAGACCATGAGAAAAAACAATTAGTGGATACTTTTCACTAGTCTTCAGAGGAGAGTTCCATTTTGCTGGAGTTTTCACTGACTCTACACGACAAGGGAGATCACAGTTAGTGTTTCCTGTCTTGAATGCTGCTAGTTATTTTAACACACAATTCCTTTAGCATAAAATATTGACCCATAAAGTTTTTATCTCTTTTTGCATGGATTAATAGTCAATTCATTTTTAAAAAGTCTATGTCTTAATACTACCAATCGACTAAAGATCTGAACTTTGTGTTCTTCCCTCAGACCACATTCATTGTCATCATGTTGGTTCTGATTCACAACAATCCTACAGGACAGAGAAGGAGTACCCTAAGAGGATTCTCTGGACTGTAATCTACATCAAAACAGATGGCACATCTTTCTCCTGCAGAGTGAGTGACTGGTAGTGACCTATGAGTTGGAATGCACAACAGATCAAAACACTGTCTGGTCCTGTGTCATCCTTACAATTGTTACTATATGTTTGCTACTGTGTCAGTCCATCTCTGACCCTCCACTTTACCAAGTATGATGTCCTTCTCCAGGTACTGGTCCCTCCTGATAACATATTAAAAGTATGAGAGGCTAAGTCTTGCTGTTCTGACTTCTAAGGAGCATTTTGACTGTACTTGTTCCAAGACAAATCTGTTTATTCTGGTGGCAGCTCATGGTACTTTTAATATTCTTCTCCACCACAATATTCAAATGCATTGATTCTTCTATGGTCTTCCTTATTCATTGTCCAACTTTCACACGCATATGAGGCAATAAAAAATACCATGGCTTGGGTCAGGTGCACCTTAGTCACCAAACTGGTATCTTTGCTGTTGAACACTTTAAAGAGATCTTTTGAAGAAGATTTGCCTAATGCAGTATGTTGTTTGATTTCTTGACTGCTGCTTGCATTGAGTGTTGGTTGTGGGTCCAAACAAAATGAAGTGTTTGAAAACTTCCGTCTTTTCTCCATTTATCATTATTTATAGGTCCAGTGTTGAGGATTTTTGTTTTCTTTACATTAAGATGCAATGGAAGACTCTATTCTTTGTTTTCATCAGTAAGTATTTTAAGCCCTCTTCACTTCCAGAAAACAAGGTTATGTTATCTGCATAATGCAGGTTGTTAGTGAGTTTCTCTCTAATACTGATGCATGTTCTTCTTCATATAATCCAGCTTCTTATGTTATTGGCTCAGCATACAGTTGGAATAAGTACTGCAAAAGGACGCAACTCTCGCACACACCTTTCCTGATTTTAAACCATTCAGTATCTCCTTGTTCTGTTCAAATGACTGCCTTTTGGTGTATGCACAGGTTTCTCATGAGTACAATGAAGTGTTCTCAAATACTAATTCTTCGCAATGCTATCTAGTTTGTCATAATCCACATAGTCGAAAACCTTTGCGTAGTCAATAAAGCACAAGTAAACATCTTTCTGGTATTCTCTGCTTTTAACCATGATCCATCTGATGTCAGCAATGATATCCTAGTTTCATGTCCTTTTCTGAATCTGACCTGAATTTCTAGCAATTCTGTCAATGTATTGTCACAACTGTTTTTGAATTATCTTCAGTAAAACTTTACTCGCATGTCATATTAATGATAGTCAATGATTTTGACATTCCATTGGGTCATCTGTCTTTGTAATGGGCCCAAATTAGGATGCTTGCATAAATACTACAAATGTATAATTTAAAAAAAAACAGAAATTCATTTTTTTCACAGTTCAAGAGGCTAAAGGTATAAATTCAGGGCACTGGCTGAAAGGAGAATTCCTTTCTTGTCTATTTCAGCTTCTAGTAGCCAGCAAAGTCTGGAATTCTGGGACTTGTAGACACACTTTTGCTTCCATAATTTTCAGACAGTGTCTGCTTTCCTCCTATATCTTTACTTTTTACTGTGTCTATGTTGTTTTGTTGTGTGTGCTGCAGAGTCAACGCTGACTCCAAACAACACACCTATATGGCAGTATAGAACTACTCCATAAGGTTTCCTAGGCTGAATCTTTAAGGGATAAAACTGTCAGATCTTTCTCCCTTGGAGCTACTGTTGTTGTTGTTGTTGTTGTTAGGTGCCATCAAGTCAGCACTGACTCATAGAGACCCTATGCACAGCAGACTGAAACATTGCCTGATCCTGGGCCAACCTCACTACTGTTGCCAATGGACTTGAGTCCATTGATGCAGCCACTTGACCAATCCATCTCATTGGGGGGTCTTCTTCTTTTTCTCTGACCCTCTACCTTATCAAACATGATATCCTTCTCCAGCAATTGGTCCCTCCTGACAATACGTCCAAAGTATGAGAGATGAAGTTTGGCCACCTTGGCTTCCAAGGAGCACTCTGGCTGCACTTCTTCCAACACAGATCTGTTGGTTTTTTTGGCAGCCCATGACACTTTCAATATTCTCCTCCAACACCATAACTCAAAGGCATCAATTCTTCTGCGGTTTTCCTTATTCACTACCCAGCTTTCACATGCATATGAGGTGATTGAAAATATCATGGCTTGGGTCAGGCATACCTTAGTCCTCAAGCTGATAGCTTTGCTCTTCAACACTTGAAAAAGGTCTTGTGCAGAAGATTTGCCTAATGCAATATGTCATTTGATTTCTTGATTGCTGCTTCTGTGAGCGTTGATAGTTGATCCAAGAAGAATGAAGTCCTTGACAACTTCAGTTTTTTCTCCATTGACAAGAATGTTATTTATTGGTCCAGTGGTGAGGATTTTTGTTTTCTTGACACTGAGAGGTAATCCATACCAAAGGCTATGCTCTTTGATCTTCATCAGTAAATGTTTTAAGTCCTCTTCACTTTCAGCAAGCAAGGTTGTATCATCTGCATATC